AAAGAATTGGTCTTCTCCAGAAAGGAAGAGTCATTCGTAGATAAATTGTGCCTCCGGTGCATATATATCTATAAAATATCCTTCCATCTACAGAAGACACCATTTACCTATAAATGAGTCTTTCATTTCTGTCTACAAAGTACCATTTTTGTCAGGTAAATTTCAGAATTTTATACCAAACATGATTCAACCTTTTCTTCCTCTTCTTCACCCTTCGTACCCTCCTCCAATTTGTCTAAAAACATTTAAGGTGTCAAAGTTTATTTGACGTTTCGGCATATTTTCCGTATTTATTCAATGAAATTCCAATGTCAAGGTTGGTATCGCTACATATTTCTGTAAAATTAACTTTTTGTGTGAATACAGTCAACCTGGAATTCATTTAATTCCATTTTCTGTTATTTTCATTTTCATCACTTCTACATCAGAGATTACAAAAAAAATGAGAAAACACAAAACCAAGACACAACTCACTTTGTTGGCACATGGCGACATGAAAATCCACAAAACTCTTCAATCCATCTCCATTCCACTTGACAAATACCAAACGTGCCAATAATGATCCTTGAAATATTTTGACAGACATCTTCAAGCACACACACATACACACGAGCACCACCACTACTCTTGGCCACCACTCAAATAGATTTTCATAGGTTTTCATTGAATTCCTTCCATCTTAGTTTAGTTTTTCTTCCTCTTCCATTCTTCCTCTGGGCGCTGATGATTCTCTTTCGGTGTGTGTGTGTGTGTGCGAACATTTATTTTTGTTTGTTCTTCTTTGCGGCCGAGTAAGAATTGTGCGTCATGTCCTTGCATCCAGTGGCAGTGGTGTTGGTGGTTTCAATGAAATACCTGTCAGTTGATCTATGCTATCTAGCCACAACGGCCGCAACTTTATGCCATTTAACCTATTTGACGTATGGTGACGACAACGGTAACGTCGACCAAGGCCAGGACACACAAAGAATGCATCGGCAGCCACAGAAGAAGAAGATGAATAAGACAAAATATGCAGCGGTGCCATTGAATAAATATTGGATCAGAAAGCCAATTTTCCGTGTAGTTGAAACCATAAATCCGCATATGAGTGATGGCTTAAATTCAATTGTTGTCCTGGTGTAAACGGGGATTGAGAAATTATTCTCTTCTTCATCGATGGCAAAGGAGAATGATGAATATGTGTATGTGTGTAATACGTACACAAGTCAAAATAAATCACTAAAAAACCCATACAATATTTTGTTGGTATTTAATTAGTATGAGAAGAAGTATGATGGATATTATTTTATATTTGTGGTTTTCAATCAAACAATACGTATTTTTAGTTATCTTCTAGTTATATGAGACACTTTTTAGTTCTCCCATATACAGTAGACCCCTTGTCATTCTCTATAGTTTGAAGACAAGTTGTGAACTTCTATGGAAAGAAGACCATGGTGGCCTTTTTAGGCAGGGCACATCTTTTGGTCTGTTATCGCTATAATACCAATTTAGTAAGCATTAGTCATTCATTCTATAGATATCTGAACTTTGCACGACTGTAAGTTTATTTTTCCATATCTTATAATCATAAGAAAGTCACTATTTTGTCCAAATATATTAATTTAATTTACTATCAAAATAATTTTCCCACCTTGGTCTACTTTTTTGCGCAAATATTTTCCTTTCTCTTTTTTGACAGTTCCACAATGTTTTATTTTGGTAGGGGAGGACCCTCACTTGGCGTTGTACGTTTTGCAACCGTTTGATTACTATATCTGTGGCTAACAACCGCCGTCTCTTCACTCACTCGATTGTGGATAGTTTTGCTTTCAATTGTTTCTTTCTTTTAGACACTGTTACTGATCTGTCCATTGTGTTATGAAATTCACATATGTGTTTTCCAAATTATTTCGATATAAATACGCCCTGTGGTCTTTTGTGGAAAGAAGGAAACTTGTATAGAATAATCAGTATTTCGTTTTATAAATAAGTGAATGAGGCTTACTAGAAGTAACCATCGCACGACTGTAAGTTTATTTAGCCTAAATAGGTATTCTGCAAGAAGGAATGGTCTTCTGTAGACAGAAATTAGATCTTCTTTTGGACAGAAGGCGCATGATATATACGGAGGAGATTATCTCTATGCAGTAGCGGTCTTCTGTAATGGAGGGGTATCATAGGTGAAACAACCTACTGTAAGTTTATTTAGCCAACATGTGTCTTTTGCAAACAGAAAGGGTCTTCTGTAGACAGAAATGACATATTATTTTGAGCAAAAGGCGCATGATATATACGGGCAGACATGAATGAATTGACTCAGAATGTGATTCTATGCATATTCTCAAAAGGATCCCTGTGTCTATTTCGTTTGCTTTTGCCTGATACAAACATATTAACAAATACATAATACCCTGTACCACAGTGTGGTGAAGGGTATACAAATTTCTTCTGCAATAGACAGTTATTTGTATAGACCCCAAAGGGTTATTCTATCTTTAGGGACCACTATTTTCTAGAAGGTCTTCTATCTATAAAAGGGCACATGGGTACTTCGATCTTTAGAAGGCAATCTATCATGCTCTATTTCCAAAATTTTCTAGAAGTCGATTTTCACAGTCCTCCCTAGTTACCAATTTTTTATCATTCAAGAAATTTTGCAGTGCAAGAAAAATATGATAATCGCTTGGTGTCATCCGCCGGACTGTATTGCGGATGCATTAAAACTTCCCAACCAAGCTCCCGAAGTTTCTGGCTAGTCACTATAGATGTGTGTGGCCTAGCATTGTTCTGGTGGAACCCGACACCTCTCCTTTTGTCCAATTCGGTCTTTTCTGGTCAATTTCTATCTTCAAACGGCCAGCTGTTGACAGTAGAGATCAGAATTTAGAGTTTGGCCATATGGAAGCAACTCCAATAAATAATCGTCTTCCAGTCCCACCAAATGCATAGCATAGCTTCATCGCTCTTTTACCACGATCATTTTCGCACAGGGTTATCGTACGTGATCCATTTCTCATCTCCAGTCACCATTCCAATTGGCCAAGGGTTCGCAAATGCAAATTCGATCCATCCCGTTTTTTTTTCTTTTAATTGGTGTGGCACCAAACATCGAGCTTCTCCTGGGCGATGTTACGACTGCTAACATGCCGTTCAACTTCGATAATTTCTCCGATTTTATCGACATTTTTGAAGACCGGCCTAATTGATTTCTTTTTCCCCCAACCTAATATTTTTTTTAAAAGACAAGAAAAGAAGTATTTTGAAAGGAAAACTCTTCTCAAGATAGCTTTACTATTTATGGAAGGTGTCATGTATCCAACATATGAAGAAAAGATATTCTCTTTACAGACTTTTTTATATAAAAAAAGTAATTCGATCAACTAATGAATTCTATTTTCTCCAAAATATCGAATAAACATATCCAAAATTGAATATTTATCCCAATTCTATTTGCATTTGCAAACTAACATTATTCGGCTATGCATTGAATTTGTTTCCAACATTTCATTTTTAATTATTGTAATTTGCTTGTCATTATTTGTTGTTGACATTTATTAAAATCTCTGTCTATGATGTTATTTTGATTGTCCCATAAATATGGCCTAGTTTTGTTAGTGTATGCGTATGATGTGTATGTATGTGAATGCGGGTTTTATTTGGATTATTTGATGTTAGACAGCTTGCTGTGTTAATATTTTTATTGATTAGTAATCAAATCCTCTGACATTTAATTCCATTATCACAAAATCTGGGTATTTCATTTTATTGTTTATTTGCTTAACAACAAAAACAACAACAAAACTGGAAAAAGATTTATGAATTTCCAAAAAATTATGAAAACTGCATGTACTTGATTTATCGCATACAACAGTGGAGGGTAAAACTAGGAGGACTATAGATGGTTATGGAATGATGCAAATGCTTTAAAATTTGCATTACATTGAATGGCAATGTCTTTCCAATAACCAACATATAAATAAACTATTGATCGATATATTAACTATATTTTATATATTAACTATGTAGCATATGGACTTACATTATCATTATAACATTATATTATTATTACATTACTATTACATTACTATATTATTTCTTTACTATTAGTAGCTTTCTATATTTTATTACTACATGTATGTTAACTATTCCATTAATTTATATTTCAATGCGTTCTACCTTAATGTAATAACAACACACACAAAAGCAACCCTTGTACTTTGTTCATTCGTTTTATGTTACGCTCAGCAACAGCATAGTTTATTTTGTTTTCTATCAATATCCAATGAGTACATTCTTGTACAAGCCGTTACCCATCAACGAGGCACTACACTCACTCTCATGTTTGTTGTTGTTTTGTGATTCTAGTTAACACTCATGATATGTGCAACGGTTTGCGCATTCCAAACTATTTGGCATTCTTTGTTTTGTTTATGAGTTGGTTGAGTGTGCGCACGTTGATGAGAAACAGCTTTTACTCATTGATAAAGCTCAGTACAAATTATGTAGAGCTTTCTGCCTATAAAAGGCGTGCGCTCGATAAGAATATATTCATTATTGCAGATCACTTGGTTGAGGTAAGAAGTACTTAGCATTAGATACGTTCTGGTTGTCAGTGCGGTACTCTGAAAATTATAAAATTCAAGGAAGTTCTTATAGGGGATTGCTAGATACGTTCACAGTGTCGGTAGTGCCCATAAGAAAATAATTGAATGTACCAAGTGTTCTGACTGTTGCAATCATTGTATCTTTTATTTTAAAATTATAAATAAAAGACTTAAAGTAAAGCGGAGATTTTGTGTCTTATTATTTGGAAAGGCAACTATATAGCTGGTCCCTGGAGGCACGGACTCTCCTCCCTTTACATTTGGCGCCCAACTTTAGAAGAATCGCGAAATCTGAGAAGACTACAGCTGTGGACAAAATTATTGTCGAATTTTGGTGCAAATTTGGAAGAAGCCATTGATATAGACAACCTGGAAGAAATTTCACGGAGAAGTAGTTCAAGATTAAGAAGTATGGCTACTGCAACGCTTACAGCAGAGATGTTGGAGAAGTTAATGCGAACTGTGGCAGAGGCAAACATCAAAGTAAGTTCGTTTGCAAACTGCAGCGCGCGCTACAGCGGAGAAGGTGATGCAACGAAGGTGGAGGAGTTTATATCGGCCATAACCACTTTCAAGATGGTAGAAAATGTGAGTGATGAGAACGCAATTAACGGGATGCCGATGCTTCTACTGGGTGATGCTTCAGAATGGTGGGCTGGAGTAAAAGGTAAGGCAAAGAAATTTGATGACGTCGTGAAGATGCTGCGGGACTCGTTCTGTCCTCCGAAACCAGCATGGCGAATATATGCTGAGATCATGGAGGGTAAGCAACAGAGAGGCGAAGCTACCGACAGTTTTATTAGAAAGAAAAGAGCTCTATTTGCGAAATTGACAAAATCACCAAGTGAAAATGATCAAATCGATATCATTTTTGGTATGCTGAGCATTGACATCAGAGATAGAGTGTTCCGGCACAAAGTTTCAAGCTTTGACGATTTATTAAAGGACGCTCGAGAGGCGGAAAATGTCATAGCAGAAAGACAAAATAATGACGGTGTTAAACCTAAAACATCTGGATCTGTCAGATGTGCTTTTTGTCACAGAAAAGGGCACAAGGTAGAAGACTGCTTCAAAAAGAAACATGTTGAAGACGAAGGACGAAGGAATGCGATTTCGACCGCCCGTGAGAATACGTCTAAACCTAAGATAGCATGTTATGGTTGCAACGCTCCGGGTGTAGTGCGTGCAAACTGTCCAAATTGCAAATCTAAAAAGGATGGCACAAATGATCAGAATGTTGCCTACTTCAATAGGATATGTAGTGACTTGGTTCAGTCAATATAAAATTTTTCGGATGTCTTGGACAAGTTATAATAGACACGGGTGCTAGAATGAGTGTAGCTAGCGCAAACATGAAGGAAATCATGGATTGTAATGGGTGTACTTTCCATTCTTTGCGTATGGACATAAGCCTTGCTGATGGAAGCAGATCAGTCCAAGAATGTTTGGCTACCACTTGTAAAATGGAAATAGGAAGAAAAACTGTTGATATACAATTTGTCGTTTTGCCTAATGCCCGACACAATCGTACCTTGCTTGGTACGGATTTTTTGGAAAAGGCAGGAATAGTATTAAATATGGGTCAAAAATATTGGTATTTCGAAGAAGAGCCGGAAGTTCACTACCTTTTTGCTGAACCATTGCCTCTACACTTGAACCTAATTGAATCCATAAAGGTGGTGAAGAAAATTGCAAGTCCCAATGCAATCCATGCAGCAAGAATTCAAGCACAGAAACGAAAAATGGTGGAGCAGTCTCCAGATCGGTCTATGCAAAGCAGCAGTAGATATATTTCCGATTTCGAATATTTTGGACCAGATATAGGAGGAAGTGACTACTCTCCTCACTCAATCCAAGCAATTTTTAAGGACTCCCTTCCCTTAAATGAAAGAGATACTCCGGAAAGACCAAGAAGCAGCAAAAGAGCCACGCTGACTAGCAAACCAGCCACAAACACGACTCCTTCCCAGAAAGACTACTGTGATGCTATCTTCACTCCATTGTATATGGTAGATTTTAAAATATTAAAAGAATCTGATGCGAAGGAAATTGCAGATAAGGAAAGGTTACAATTGGATAATTTACTGGTAAAACATATTAATGTGTTTGGCGAAATTGGAGGCGTAAGAGTGTGTGTTGACTACCGTAAATTAAACGCTATCACTGAACCAGATAGGTACCCACTACCAAGGATGGATGACTTACTCCAGGCTGCGAAGAGTACAAACTACATGACCACTTTAGATTTGCAAAGTGGCTATCATCAGATTTCTATGGCAAAAGAAGATCAAGACAAAACCTGCTTTATTACGCCGTTCGGTCTTTATCGTTTCACAAGGATGCCTTTTGGTCTGCGAAACGCACCTGCCACCTTTCAACGGCTTATCGATCGCATAAAGACATCAGTTCCAGACATACTAGTACTAGCATATCTCGATGATATTATAATATGCTCTTCCACACTTCATGATCATTTACATCATCTGGATACAATTTTCACAAAGTTAGAAGTCTTTAAGTTGCGTGTTAATAATGCAAAATGCCGTTTTTGTTGCTCGGAAGTCAAATACTTGGGCCACATATTGACTCCGAAAGGTATTTCAGTAGATCCAAATA